TTGTATCAGTGGAAGAGAAACACCAGACTCAAACAGCCTGAATAATTGTTCCACTCTGTTTGAGCCAGGTTCATGCCTCATTCGTTCTGTCTAACTTTATGTTGTCATGTGACCAAAAAATCCCGTAGAACGCGGAGAAATGAGAGATGCTCCCATCCTCGTTTATATAATGAAGTGGAATTTAAGGGCAAGGAGGTTGGGCTGTAGTCCAATGTTCACTGACCTTTGAGAACTGATTTGGTCTTCAGCAGCTCATGAGATCCATTTTGGGGTCTTTAAATGTTGGCATTTCTTGACCAGTTTGGTTCCGCTTTGTAGAAAAAGCATGTAGCGTTTCAATAGAGCCGTTATACTCAACTACCGAAACATAAAAGGATCGCAGCGGCATTTTCACGGGTGGGTTATAGGCCAAATATCTTTTGACATGTCATAGCATTCAAATAACGGATTACTAGCTATCCACACATCTGAAATAACGCATCTATTTGAATCAGTCACAAGTGACCTGCACTCAGTGCTAAAATCTGCCGTTTTTACTTGCCACACTCCAAAGAAGGTGTTTCTAGGCAAATGAACCATGGCTGTGTTGTATTTGTGTGTGTCCGCGTGTATGCTGAATAGCGGGGCCCTGGAACTGAAACGGCTAAATGGAACTCAGAAATCATCATACCTGTGCTTTTCCTGCTGTGAGATGCCAGATTGTCCTCTGAGAAAATGCAGGACCTCGGGTTAGGTGTTGCCATGTGTTACCATTTCTTTCTCATCTATTTTTCATGAAGAGGGCACTGACACATTTCAGGAAAAATGGATTGCATCAGTAAAATGAGACGACGGAGCTCATATTAAGACACCGGGCATATGGACAAAGCATTTGGAATGAGAAACGTCAGCAAAATATCTGCTGAAGCTTTAAATGATCTTCATTGAGTGTGTTAACACGTGTAATTGGGTTTTCCCTCCGTCTCAAAGGAATAGTTGAGATGTTTGCCACAAGGTGCCACTTGTAGAATTTATGGATGCAGATCCAGGCCTACAGATGATGTAGATGTTTCAACATCAACATTGTTTCTGACTCGAGTAGAAAGTGTAATCCTTTCTGGTCAGGTGCTTAATTTAATCTTTAAAAAAATGTGACCGTAACAAATCACATCAACAGATATGTTTGTTTAACCAAATACTGACCTTTGCAGGGATATCCAGCCTCCTCTCTGAGGCTCCATTTAATCTTTTTGGACCCAGTGGGGAAGCGCCCCCCCAACCAACAATGAATGCTCAGTTCAAATCGTCTGGCTGTTATGGATGTCATGGAAAAATCTAAATGGCACATTTGCCTCACTAGAACTTAAAATACTGATCCAAGGCAATAGTATGACAAATGTCAATCAAGGCACTACAATAATATACTGGGATAAACTAATACCCACCATTAAAGCTATACCAGCATACATCGCACGCTAACCATTGACTTGCTCTGCTGAATTTAACTGACAACAGTTTTGCGGTGGGCTGGTTTGTGGAAATGTAGCGCTGGGAGGTCATGTCAACAATAGTGAGGTTAGAAACCATTGCTGTTTCTTGTAAAAATGTCCAGCACTCCCGATTTGTTTCATGAATGCCTTTTTGTGGTAGTTGTGAGGGCAGTTTCCTCACCCTGTGCCTGGAAACTGATTCAAGGTAAATCCATCAAAATGAGTGACAGGTGCTGGGCAGCGAACTTGAGGCAGGGAGCCCCTGCAGGGGCTGCAACTGGCAACAAGGTGAAATGTTTAATCAAATACCAAAGTGACATGAAGTGAAAGACCTCTTCCGGTCTCCTTTCTTTGTAAATCGGTAAACTCCATTTTAAGTCCATGTGAAAAACCAAATTGTTTGAAGCACAGTCACGGTGATTCGTGCTTCCTTTCACAGTGTGACACTGATCACGGTCACAAATGTTCTTTCAGGTCTTGGTGGACTTGACTGAGGCATTTGCATATAAACGGGTGCCTAACTAAGCACAGTAAGCGGCCGACAGTATCGTAAACCATCTGAATCTTTTACAGGCCAACAACTTCTGACGGATAACTTGCAGAATTGCCGGGATTGAGAGAAACATGCTTAAAATATTGAAACGCCTCTTCATAATTCACATTCAGCACTACACAGCGCTCTGAGCGTCCGGCTCTCATCCCCGACACCTGAGGTCCCCGACGGGTCGACTGGAAGCTGCTGGCAGTCCTGCTGAGTGACTTGATTATTAGAACGATCAAACTGTTGCTGCAAGTCACGGGTTTGATCCTCTGTCGTCTCCACACTTCACAGCTGTTGTTAATCCTCGCCGAACTGTGAACGAGGAAGATAGTGAGACCTTCCCTGTTCCAGGGGCTCCTGTATGTGCTACACGCTTGAATCTCTGCTCATAAAATGCATACACGCGTGTCTAAGGGGTGCATGCGAGGAAAACGCTTGGTATGCCGCCTGTAATTTTGTGATTGACTGCACCAGAGAAGAAAAGTTGCACAAGTGTTTTCAATGAGGAACAGATAATTGCAACTGCTCGGAGAAATAGTTTAAGGATGCCAAATGTTGCCGAGAGCTGATGTGCAAGTCCTTGGAAAACGTACGTATTGCATATTTAGTAGGGATTGGATGAGTCTCAAGCTCTGTAGAATAATTTCTCTGACCTCTGCTCATGTGCACAGCCTTTCAATTTTAGCTTAAAACATTTGTGATCATGTGAACTGGCTTGTTCTAGTATTTTAAGCGGAGGAAGCATTAAATAGACCCACGCTCACTTTCACAGCTTCACTTTCCCCCGTTGACTAAAACAGGCCCTCTTTGTTTTTACAGAGTGGTCTTTTTCAATCTAAAAATCATTTACCCTCCAGACAACAGAATCAATCCTTGATGAGCGTTCACTTTATGTGCTGTTTTGCTCTCTCCCTGTGCTCTAACACGCCTCTTATGAAAGATACATTTGTTTACCGGGCTCTTTAGCGATCCAAGACCGCCGAAGGTCGAGCTGTGAATTTACTGCAGCCGTTTGTCTTGCTCGCTTGGCATACGGCACTTCTGTCGGTGTTAATGTGGTGAGTGTGTCGGTGCATCCAGCAGCCTTCCTCGCTTTATTAACATTCGAGAGTGCAAAGCAAGAAAAAAACATAGTCATCTGGATGAATGCAACATTCATTCAGGGTCTGGCAGGGAAGGGTGAGGGTGAGGATGGAATTGGAAGACACATTATCTAGATGAGCGATTCATCACTTTGTTCTTAAAAGCGTCTTAACCTGATAGAAACAAACGGATATGGACACTACGCTCTGCTGCTTTGGGGATATCACAAGAAGAGCTTGATTTTAAAAAATGAACAGAGACACTGTTTTGTAGGAATCTACATAGACGAGGGTGAAGGGTATTGCACTGAGCCAACACAAGTTAATCATCCTTTCTTCAGCCATCTTTCCTTTGACTTTAGTGCATCATCTGGTCACACGCATGGCAACCCAGCCAGCATCCAGGAGACGCGTGACCTTTAATAATGTGGTCATGTAAAGCAACCGTGTTACATGTTTAGCATTTAAGCAGCACGCGAGCGTTGGAGGGAACGTGCTTTGCTGGGTGTCCCAGTGGTCCCATCACAGCAACAGCGTACTGGTTCTAGATGTTGACACCAGTTTTCATAGCGTGCTCTTAAACACTCTTTTTTTTTTTCTTCTTCCTGTCTAACACATGCAGTTCACATGCGCGAGAGGCTGATGCTTGTTTGTGTTGTCAGTTAGCTCGGCAGTGCTGACCTATCCACGGTGTGTCTCTGCCCTTCACACACTGCACGCCTGGATGGATTTACTTTTAAAGACCACGTGTCTTACAGAAAACCAAATCTGATGGTTTAAGGGCAAGAGAAAGGCGAGAGAAAATGTTTGTTTTTTTCTGTTGTGCGCACAATGAAAGCTGCCAGTTTCAGCAGAAAACATCATGCAACGCATTCCGCATAAGGATGAATGCTACACCCTCATTGCCACACTGAATCCATTCCACTAGTCTATTACAGTATTTAAAATTGCTGATGCCGTAGCTTTAGAAGATAAAGTCTTAATGTGATGGTTTGGGGCAGAGGAAGTTACTTCCTGTTGCTGGGCCTTGCACAGATGAAAATAACCAGCTGCTGCTTTCAGGGTTTTAACAAACGAGACCAGCCAGTCCGCTTTGAATAACGCGAGCAGTCCCTTGGTGGGGAGGAACGTTCGGGGGAGAAATTATGCAAAGGAGGGTAAGAAAAGCGGCTTATTGTAAATATGTAGTTGTATTTCACTGTGGCACCTGTGACAGTATAATTATCTTCATTTTGGCACTGCATTATTACCTTATGCATTGTTCAATTTATTTGTGCATCTCTGGATTTATTAGCAGTGACCTTCAGTAAAATGAAATTGTAATCATCCTTCCATTTTTCTGTGGTCTTTTGACCAGTTGTTATTCAATGAAAGTACTAAAATGTCTCAGAGTTAACTGGGGCTGATGGAAGGAAAAAAATACTGATATTTATCATATTAGAGGACATATGTTTTTTTGGGTTGTTTTAGGGTTTCACTTCAATGAACGAAAGTATCCCTTTTTGTGCTTTTGTGTTATCTGCCATCAAGCACAGATAGTCACTGAGCGCCTGAGGAGGATATTAAACACGTGTCCTTATTTGTGGATACTTTATCCATCTACCGTGTTGCCTCTTGGCTGAGTATTCTGTCCTATGGCAGCGGCGCCACAGTCACCCTTTGCACTGATCTAACGGCTCATCACTGCACAGAGAATTTATTTCAAATGTTCTGGCTCAAAATACAAGTTGTAATACCAATATTGCTATGAATATGAATGACATTGGACCGGCACCTAATGGCCAATTGAACAAGAGGGGGAACAAACCATTATCTTCTCTTTTTTTTTTTTGTGATCACCGCTTCTTTAAAAGACATTTGTTGGATTTAATTAAAATATGAAATGAAAAAAATAACTTTTACATCCAGTGAAAGAGCAGGAAAGCCTTTTATCTTGTACACAATACTTTATCAAAGAGTCACATATAAAAACACACCTTTTTCAGGAGCAAGCGTTAACTGATATTTTCACAACTTTGATTCTCCCATTGGCTGCTCTACCTGACTTTGACACATTAAAGTCATCCAAGAACATCCATGAACATCCAAGCAACAGAAATACACACCACAGCACACAGACCCTTTAAGTGTAAGATTAGAATGCAACACACACAATTCAAAAATATATCCTCTAATCCTGCAGTGATTGCCCTTTTTTTCTTTTACAAATAGAAAAAAATCCACAGTTAACTAAATCTGTCAAAGGAAATGCTTTAACATAGTCACAAGTGTTTTGCGCCGTGACAGCTTCGGACACGGCACCGCTTTATCCTCGCTAAAGTCCCCTGCGGTGCCGGCGAGCATCAGCAGAGATCACGGTCGTGTCCGCAGGGCCTAAAGGGGGTGACGCGTTGTGCCCTGCTGGTCTCCTGAGGGTCGTATATATTCTCGTAGACATCTCCAGGATCCGCACCCCCCTCCTGTCATGTGTGTTCACATGTTGTCACCTCAGGCAGGGGCATCTGGTCCTGAATTACCACTTGAGGAATGACGGGGGCGGGGCGAGCGTGGGCCACCGAGTTCTTTTGCAGCTCCACCCCGAAAGCAGGAGAGGCGTTCTGCAACTGTCTCCTGTACTGCACGAAGCTGCAGGTCTTTAGGATGATGGCCAGGATGTTCTTGCCAATCAAGATCCCGGATACCCTGGCGTCCCGGTACAGAATCATGTTGCCCCCCCGGATGAAGAGAGTGATGATGTTGATGGTCACCAGGCTGAGGATGGGGTACAGGAGCATCTTGTGGGGAACGATGTTGATGCCCTGCATGCTGATCTCGCTCAGGGACACGCAGGGGAGCACGAGCAGCAGGATGTAGCAGTAGAAGAACATCAGGCCCTCCGCCCACAAGGGAAGACCCTTCTTCTGAGGTTCCCACAGGTTGGCCTGGATGTCCAGGATGTCCAGCAGGTCCACCACCACCCAGAAGAGGCGGTTGCGGATCTCCTCGCGCTTCTTGAAGGCGCGCACGTACTCCATGTGGTCGATGGCAACCAGCACCACAAACAGCACCGGGATGCAAACGGACAGCAGCAACGTCAAAGCTTTCCTGGCCAGGGCGTCGAGGCTCTTCCTGTCCGCCTTGTAGTTTTGATACACAAAGTACACCTTGATTTCCAGCACGAAGATGTACAGGAACCAGAGGATCATGGCGTAGCCCCGCTTGGCCGTGCGCACCTCCGCACCCACCCAAACCGCCACGTAACGCAGGACGATCAGGAAGCAGATGTCGCCCACCATCACCATGATGCAGATTCCGATCTTGCGCGGCCCGTGGTTCTGCTCCACCAGGTAGGCATCAATAAGCGCCATGCTGCTCATGATCAGGATGGTGGAGAGGCACACGTGGGGCTTGTTGGTGGGGGGTGGAGGTACCATCGTTGCTTGGGTGTAAAGAGGAGGAGGAGGAGGAGGAGGAGTGTTGTTGAAGAAGGGAGTGCAGCGGGGGGGGGGGGCTCAGTTTGTCCAGCGAGGAGGCAGATCAGATAGCGCTGCTAGACAGCAGTGTTCCCCTCCATTGCTTCCGCCTTGGCCGGAGTCCAGGATGTATTAATAGGATTCACACGGATCACTTCAATCAATCTCTGCTCGTGCCCGAGCCACCTGCCGGGTAGACGGTACCACTCATTTAGGAAATTATGTTCATTGACAAATGGTCTGCAAACACACAGGTTTGTTATTGTACAAATTAAATCAATATCTAAATCTCAATATATGTCTACCTTTAACACTGTGACAAGCATTAACCAAGCACAACACAGCGGTTTAATTAAACGAGTGGCCTCTTCTGTTGTTGCCAAAAGAATTCCAGATTCACCTCCGTCACCCTTGTTTTCGTACAAGCTTAAGCCTGCAGAGATAAAAATCCAGCTGAATACTCACTTGTGTCCCTCCTCGTACTTTATCCTAATGTCTGGCAGCGAGCGACCATCCATGAGACTGCACTGGGAGATCACAAAGCCCATCTGTAATCCACAGGAGGAGAGAGGAGAAAGCGCATGGGATCCTTTCCTTCTTTAACGGCTGTAAATCCATCAGTCATGGATGTATATTATCTTCCTTTTTTCCTTTCTTTTTTCAAGCAAAAGAGAAAACCCAAAATATTGCCGTCATAATCCACTTACTGCTCAGACTGAATCAGGAGGAGGCATCTAAATTCCCTCAGTTCCTAAGAAAGAGGTTATTTTGTGTTGTGGTGAGAGAGAGAGGGGCTTTAATCCTCCAACTCCCCAAAAAGAATAAAGTTATTCTTAGTGGACAAATCTCTGCAGCAACTCCTGCTTAAAAGAGAATTTCCTCTCCAGAAGTTTTCCTCTTCACCATCCAGCATCCACGGACGAGAACGTGTAACGTTTTGCGTTCAGTTTGTGCTTCTCAGAGTCGCGGTGAGTCTCTGGAACCGCAGCGTGCGTCTCACAGCCCGTCCCCCGCCGTGAGCTCCAGAACCTGCCTGCCGCGCCGTCTTCTGTCTCCAGGATCAGCAGCGCCAGTGGATTCCCCTGTCTCCGCCAACAACCGACAGCGCCGTGTTGCTCCGACGCCACCTGCCCCCCTCCTCAGCCCTTCCTGTGAAGTCTCAGAGAGAGAGAGAGAGAGAGCGAGAGAGAGAGGCTCCTCTGGTGCGTACACACACACACACACACACACACACACTGCAGGCACAAGCTCTCTCGCAGGCAGCCTCCCTTCTCCCTCTTCTGCTCAAGTAAAAGGCACTTGCTGTGTGGAGGTGACGCTCAGCAGACCACAGCTGCAGAGAGAGGGAGAGAGAGCGAGAGACAGAGAGAGATTTCAAGTGGGTGGAGAGGTGGGGGGTGGGGGGGGGTGAAGAAGAGCCAGCCTTTTTCAGCTGCAACTTTTCTCCCTCACCCTGATTTTTTTTTGTTCTCCCTCTCACATGCCTCTCTTTTTTTTCCACATTGTGTCTTGTGCTGATATCCTTTTTTGGCTCCCAGAAAGCGCCCTGGTTTGCTTCTTCTTTGAGGATCCCGTTAAGGCAACATCACCCCCCCCCCCCCCCCCCCACCGCCCCACTTCCGCTCCTTTCCACTGGGTTTGAGGAGAAACGTGACCCTAAAAGAAGAAGAAAAAAACAGCTTCCCAACAGGCTGTGTGTGCTGTCTGGGCCGACATGTGGGTGTAGGGGGGGGGGGGGGTAGTGGCCCCCGTTGACAGAGAGCCTTTCCATTGATCTCCTGACAGAGCGGTGAATCAGGAGCCTGAGATGGGACCAGGGAGCAGAAGAGATGAGGGGTAAGGGGAGATTTGGGGGAAGTAAATGACAGAGGGCAAAAATACGGTGGTGCTAAATGTCAATGGAACCTTTTTAAGCAGTGAGATGGCAGATAATACAAATTAAAAGAACATATTGAAGGGGGTTGTCATGGTGTTTGGGTTCTTCCTGTTTTATTTTGTATTTCCCTTGCTCTTGTGTCCATGAGTTGGCTTCACTTCCCCCTCTAGCGTTGCCCCCCCCCCCCCCCCCCACATGGGAAGGGCCGGCTTGGCCAATTGTTCCCTCATATGTCCAATCACCTGCACCTCCCCCAGTGTACTTAAGCCCCGCGTGCCCTTTGTCTCGTTATTGATTTGTCTGTTTTCATACAGTGAACCTGAGACCTTTTTTTTCTTGTGTATTTCTTGTTCCTGGTTCACTGTTGAGTTCTTCTTCCCCCCCCCAAATCCTGACGGTGGGGGGGTTTCTCCACCAGTTAGCAATATGCGAACACCATCAGCTCGGCTTATCCAGCGGGGCCAATTACCAACAATTCTTTCTCAGAGGAAGCAACTGCTTTCATTACTACAGTATGAGGACTTTTTACTGCTCAGTTATGAATTGCAGTTATTGACGAGTCATTTATCAGCCTTCCCTGAGCCACAACAGTTGAATCGCGCTTTACCTGAAGTCCACTGCCACTGCCACACTTGGAACACATTGGTGGAGACGGCGGGCCCCATAGTGGGAAACATGTGATGGGAGGTCACAGGTCTGGTGCAAGCGCGCCCGTTAACAGCCGCGTGTCCTTGAGCCGGAACACGAGCTGCTACCTGCCCACTCGTTTACTGAAACTCACTGTGAAGCTGAGGGGACGGCCTGTCTGTTCCACGGGGCAAAAGCACCGTGTTCTTGATAGTTTCTTAATGCGCCCTCCCCCTCCCCCCCCCCTCTCCCTCCTCTAAAAACAGTATGGGAGATTGACACATCACCTCCGCCTCCCACTTTGTTATTCCTCCCACGTGTCACCCGGTGATCCACAATGCATATCTTAATTTACATGCCATTTATAAAACACAGGGGAATCCAAGACCATGATAACTCCTTCATTTAGAAGGGCAGTAGTCCCGAGCTCGGACTCTGATTCACATCTGCTGAATACCCTAATTTATACCGGCTCCGCATTTTTATCTTCCTTCGCTCTGTTTATAATTCATGAGCGTGAAGGGAATCACATCGCTGTCTCCTTAGGGTATTGTCTATTTTAGATTGAGCCGATTTATGCACTGGTTTGTGTTTGTTTGTATGCGGTTGTACCAACACAAGGCTATAGTTTTTTTGTTTTGAGCATCCTCATCTGTCCTTTCTCCTTCGTCCATCACGCTCCTGCACAGCCTCCGACAAAGGAGCTGTCCTTGGCTCCTGGACAGGGCCGCTGCATCTTCCACTGTCCGGTGCAGGCAGGCTAAAGTACAAAGGATTTCAGATGACCAAACCGCAGCTACATTGTCTGTAATACAAAGCATTCCTACCGCAATGGAGCCGTGGGGAGGCAAAGCCCTCGCCTTAGGAGAAAGGTGGTTGTTTTGTAAAAAAATAAATAAAAAAAACATATATTTTTTTTATTCGACAACTTGCCTTTAAATATGGTATTTACCTCCATGCAAATATTTGAGCATCCTTTCTCAGAGCATTGCGCAGAAATGTTCCCTTGACAACCAACTGCAGCAGCTTGAAAAAAGGGTTTCTTCCTCGAATAAGATATCATGGGAGAAATTCAACACTGCAAGCTGCACCTTGAACTCAGCTGGAATAAATACATAAAATGTTTTTTTTTAAACATTGCTGCAAGAGTAAAAAACAAATTACACCTCCCCACGGCAGTCAGACAACCGGGCTTTGAAGTGCACTTCCTTTTGGCTGATTACATTTGCTCGTTCAATCAGCAACCGATTTGTCCTTTTCTCTTTTTCAAAGTTTCAGTTTGCCCATTGATTGAATGCTTTTACCGCTCTAAGACACATCATGCACTCTTGCAACACATTCCATGTGTTTACCGCATCGATGTTCCCCCCGGAGCGCAACTGAGTGGAGACATGAATGTGCACCTGAGCGCTGCAGGTAGTGGCTTAATTACAAGGCTGTGCTCCACTGAACGAAGAGGCTGATTTGATTTCCTTTGTGTTTCGACTGGAGATGATTTACTTAAGAGTCAAGAGTGTAGCATGATCAGTTTCATTGTGCTATGGAAACCCAAGAGACGTACCTTGAGAAATATCTCAAGACCTTGTTGTGTTGTTTAGACATGGAATGTGGATTGAAGCGTTTCCGTCTTTGTCACTGTTTTTGTCGTCTTCGCGCTGTGACGTCAAGCTTTAAAGTGTCTCAGCAGTCAACATGCTGTGATTTGCTGCTAGCGTTAGCGGGGGGAAACAAAAGGAAAAACTAAGGCGATGGGCACAAACATGGATTAATTGCTTGGGTTTGGCAGCCGAGATTCCGTGTCAGCAAGTTGTGAGAAGATTGGGGAATTTACATCACCAAAGACAATTTGAACATGAAGCATAACCGTGGAAATAGGACACATAAATCACTTTAGCTGTGACCCTGAGTCTGCCATCGATTACCTACTGGAAAACAAATGGGGGCGTTAAGGCTTCCCATCCTTAAACATTCCCATCAGGGTTATAACCACCAAATGGGAATGCATGTAGTGGATGGACTAAGCTGCTCCCCCATGGGCCTATTAGATCAGAGGGGGAGGGGGCGGTCAAGCCTCCACCTCCTCGCCAACCCCGTGGACCAATGCTGGAGAAGACACAGGTCATTTTAATCTCCACGGAGCTCCGATATTTAACCGCCGGTAACATGAAGAAGGAAGTGTGCGCTGTTAGACGTCAGGTGGAATGTAAGACAAAGCCTCGTCGACAGCTCTTACAGGGGATGATGAGTACAAAGCAGACCCAGATCCAACAGTATTTGCATTTCATTGATCTTGCTTGGGAGTCCCATGTGGGGGGGGCTATTCAACTGCGAGGAAGAGAATGATTGCCATGTTATTACCACAATCCAGAAAGCTCTCTTTATACATTCAGTAACCTTACAAGGAAAAAACAAACTCCACCATCGAGCCAAACGGACAAAGAAAGCTTTGCATTGTATCATATTTAACATTTGAAGTTCAGGTGTTGTTGTTGCATAATATAAAGACGGGGCAGTTCTTGCACATGCTTGCACGGCCTCCCCAATGCGAGAACAGGGATGTTTATGCTTTGGTGGTAAACTCATCTTGGGACGCGCGAGGTGACACACGTGTACCTTTCCTTCTGCCGCTATTCCAGAACAAAGAGAGTCACGTTTACTCGAGGATGTGTGACAGGATCTGCTTTTGTATCAGCATTTTTTAAAATGAATCACACCAAATGATCCTTTCATTAGCCGACTGGTTTTTCTATCTGACATTTGTCACAGTGGCCTCAAGCTTTTATCCTCGCTGTTTAACGATGATGACGACTTGTAAGTGACGCAACAATCGGCCACACCTTCACTGTCACGGCGAACACGAGTGAGCTGAGGGGCCACTGTGCAAAATTACGTTTGTACAGGACGCCTTGAGTATTTCAGCTTGATAATAAACTGTTAAGCGCTGCCAATTCACTTACTTCTGGCAGCCTGATCCACCGTCGATGCATAGAGGCAAGATGGGAGGGGGGGTTGGGAAGTCCATACAGGCAGGGAAATGAAATGAAAATGTGTTTAAAAAGCCCGAAAATATTGGTAGACTACGACCTCTATTACATACTGCATCAAATAATTTGGATGAATGTTGTGAAACCTTCAACAATAGATTGTTTTGTGTCGTTATAAGTACTGTTGGTGCTTTTAAAGCAGGGACCTTCACTCTTCTCCCAGTCTCCTCTACTTAGTGTATTTTCTTAAAAAGGCTTTTTGTTAACCTGTGATTTGTGATTGTATTCACTCTGGATGGACTTGACGATGACGTTCAGTGACTGAGACGGAACAGATTGGAAGAGACAGAAACGCGTCAATATTGACGAATGCAAATCTTTTGATAAACAAATTGGTTGAGGGTTCCATTTAGACATTTTTGTCTTTGTTTTAAATGCAACATGGATCCTATTAAAGAAACGCTCACTGCCTTAAATATAAAGATATACGTACACGTTGGTGTGTATGACGGGGATTTTTCCATAAGCTCATAAGACCATAAATCATGGAGGAATTTCCTATTTGTGGAAGCCGCGCTGTCGTTCCCTCACTTTGATTATTACTGATTATGTGGACTACCGCTGTGATGCACCCGTTTAACGAATATCTGCTCCCTGGAGGTTGCTTATATACGCAGAAACGCACGGCATTAATTAAGCTGTCCACCATCATAAGTAAAAGGGAAGATAAACAGCGTCCATGTTCGTGGCCTCTTTGTCGAGGTTATTTTGCATGCGGCACCATTCCTCATCAGATGCTGTCTCTCACACTGTGTAGTGACTTGGAGATATTGAAAGCATTGG